CACAATATCATTGGTTGGACTCTGCGTCGCGTTAGAGGCCAGGGTTTGGGCTCTTGTACAGTTGCTGGTTCGGTGTAACCGGTAATTAATGGTCAGAGAACGACTCATTGGTTCATTTGGCGATAAAAATATGATTAGACGATTTCAGCGTTTTTCTGGTCTTTGAACAGGTAAGTCAGAAGAAAAACACTGCGAGAGGAATTACTCATATAACTGTCCAACAACTCTCAATCTACAGAGAACGACTAAGTATATTGGTAACATTTGACTGATCCAGGAACACATCACGGCGTCGGTTTGAAGCCGGATTAGACGGAGGCAATCCATTCACAATTCTGAAACTCAACCGGTTTATAAAATGACCGCTGACTATCGGTGCCCCCGGCTCCATCGCTGCCACCAATAACAAATGAACTGGAAACCATAAATGGCATCATCAGGCCTCGCGGAGATTTCTTGGTCCCTAAAGATACTGGTATGTGGTAGGTGAATACGCAGTTTAAGTCACTGACACTGGAGAGGTTTCAGTACTGGGATTCTTTGCCATTCTGCTTTGGTGTTGGAGAGCTTCAAACTTTCCCAGGTAAGGAGCACATCTATCCTATTGAGGCTTCACGCAGTTCACCACCACAAATGGCCAAGCTTAGGTTACCGATCATCATGAGCAACGAGTAGATTCTCGATATAATAGGGGTTAACTTCTTTATCACACCGCGGTGTACAAAAAATAACTTGTTGAACTGTGGAAAACATTTATGTACAAGTTCTGATAGGTCAGCCTAAAGCGACTGCATCAGTCTGTCTCTCCAAAGTCCCTCAAAGTCATGGACACAGAGACGATTGAATACGAACTGGCATGCAAACTATACTACTACAAATCAAATCGTTTGGCTTTGGCCAGTCGAGTCCACGTGTCTTCAACCGTACGAGTAGTGAATCGACGACTGAACTGCTGGGCATAGCGATTGTAGAAAACTTGATCCTCATTCTCCAGTTCCAGTCGCTTTGGGGTAAATAGAGAAAGAAAAGAAAAATGGGCAGTAAGTACGAAAATAACATTTATTTGTCATGGCATAAAAGCAAGGAATTTAACTCCAACTTGGCTGGCAACCATGTACACAGTAACCTACCCAATTTGTGTGTCACTTAACAGTAAAACGTTGAGTGATCCAGATTTTTATAACATACAAACAATGTTTCAGTTCCAGTTTTTACAACCCTTAACCATGCACTTTCGTGTGTCGGTTTTGGTTGCTGTCTTTTGGTTGCCCATTTGGATTAAAGAGCAGAATAAAGATTGGAATGTCGCAGCTAATTCAAGCGGAAGATGGGGAATTCATATGGAGTGGTGTTGAGAGAATAATGAGTAGATGCACGAGCGCCACTGTTTGCGACACACAGCCATGTCACTCAATATCTCTAACCATCGGTGATCATCATCTCTAGGTCCTCAGCCAGGAAACCTAACGGGGCCTATGTGACCTAGTCTCTTGGTTAGGGTTTTCATACCCTCGTGCCAGGTTT